TCTCTCTCCCCCTGTCGCCCCGGTCCTAGCAGCGATGCAGGAGGTCGAGGCCGGCTGCGCCGTGGCGTTCGCCGAAGCCCAGAGATGGGTGGAGGTGAGTGCCTTTACTCCCGTCCTGGGTGCACGGGTTTGCGGGCGTCGCGAGGCGAGGGCGCTTCAGCCTCTTCCCCGGACCTTCCCGGGCGCTTGGCTGCCGGCTGGTTTGCGCGTGCAGTTGGGGAACTTTGGAAGTTCTGCTTCTCCGACTCTTTAACGTCCAGCGAAGCTTAACTCTGCCCTCCCCCGCGACGGTCTCGCCGAGGTGCCCAGAGCTCCTCTGCCAGGGCACGTTCCGGCGCCGACCCACCCGGGTGCCAGGACTGCGCATCCCTGTGGACCAGCCCGCGAAGGCTCCGGGCCCCCGGGGTGTCTCCCTGAGGGACGGAGCCGGCCGGGGTCCTGCGGTGCTTTTCTGTGGAAGATGTGGAGATGCCCGACGCACGCCTGCACGGGCGCGTGTGTTGTGTGGGAGGGCTGGTGGGGGAGTGTAGCTCTGGAGCGGTGCGTTCTCTGGGCAATCCGGAGCCCTGGGGATGGGGGTGGGGTGGGTGGAAGTCAGGGCTTGTATTTATTCAAAGTCTGCATTGATGAGATGAGATATCCTGGGGTCCCTCACTGAAGGGTTGTTACTTTCCCAGCTGTGCCTCAGAGGCAAGATCTTCCATCCCCTTCTTTCCCATTAAAAAAAGAAGACGGTCTTTTAGAGGCTTCTTCATCAACATCTTAGAGTTAACATGTGTTGAAGGTTAACTCCAGGCTTCTGGCCATTATTATACTGGATGAAAAAGGTGACTTTCTAAATGATGCTAAAGAAGTCTTCCCAGCAGATGTGAATCAAGAACAATTGCTTGTTAGAAAATCGTTGCCTGCACCTGCCTTGAGGTCATTGAGGAGTTATTGATGTCAGGTGTTAGCTTATTCATATTTAGTTCAAATTTATTAATGCATAGTCAGTTCACTTATATTTAAATATGTCTTAAAGTATTTAAAAATGAAAATTAGGTTTAAAGATTATGCTATGGAAAATACCATATTCAAGAATTCCAAAGCAAAGGGCTGAAAAATAATTCATTTGTCCTTAAATAAATATACTTATGTTGAAAAAATAAAGAAAATAACTTTCAACATTAGACTTTTTACTCTAAATAAAGGAGTGTGAAATGTGAGTAGCATTATCCATTAGACAGTAGGGGAAGTCTAAGAAATTAACTTTTGGTGTCTTTTCTGGACTGAAACTTTGAGCATCTGAAGGTGACTTAGATGTGAAGGGGGCGCGGTATGGGGAGGTTGGGAGAAGAATAAACACGGTATTTTGAATTGAATTGAGAGTGGAAAAATTCCAGCAATGTAGTTAAGAGAAGTAACTTCCCTCATTCATCAACTTTGAAAAGTCAGGGCTACTAAAGGTAATTTCCCATTAGTAGTGTTTGTGTTGTATAATTTTAGAAGAGAAATTAAATGCCCCTTTTTGTATTTGAGTGTTGGGAATGGAGGAAGGGAGAAGGGAAGACATATGGGGACATTTTTTTGGTCACACATGGCTCCCGTGTGGAGTTTGTATCTGCATGTTGTGTATTTGCTTCAGGAAATCTGTGGCTATGCATGATTTCACACATTTTCTTTTTAGTATGCATACTTTTGAAATCTGGAAATTCCTGGTTTATTGTAGCTTGGTCATAATTGTGTAGGATTTCTGTGAGAAATTTATGTTTAAAAAAGTTGGGGAAGTGTTTTGTGATAAAAGATATAGTGCAGGGTAAATGTGCTCATCTTCCCACTCCCATCCCACCCCATCTAAAAGTGTTTTTCAGCAATGATGTGGCAACTCTAGTGTTTTGTTCATCATTAGCAGAGAGCCAAATCTTTTTAAAGGTTTTGGTATATGATTTTAATATAATTAATCAAGCTAAAATAAGTGATTTTTTTCCTGGTGCCACAGGGAGCAAGGCAGTGTGTTTATTGCAGATATGTGAATAAATGGATTTATATATTTACATACTCTTTGCTCTGCTGTGGGCACTTGAAGTGACAGCAGTGTGTTCACTTTTAGGTTTATTTTCAGTGTCCAGATTTACTTGTCTTCTTAGCTTTGCCTTTACAACCAAAACACATAATTTAAAGTATTGTTTTTGCCAAAAGAAGCCGAACAAACGACTCTCTCATGGCCACAACCTCTTTAACTCTGAGAACCCCTAATTTGAAGATAAAATATTGGTTCCAAAGCCTATTTTATAAAGTATTTTGGAAAGTGAGGAAGATTATAGTGTAAATTTTTCTCTTGCTTGCTAATATTCTTGCTCCATTTTTCCTTTCTGCTATACTTTATATATATTGAAGCATAAGTGGGTCATTCATATGTGTGTGTGTGTGTGTGTGTGTGTGTGTGTGTATGTATATATATAGACATATATGCATTATAATAGTACATTATATAATATGTACATTATCTATAATATGATCTACCTTTATTCTTAGCTGCTGCTTTGAATAACCCAAGGTCAGGAAACTCCAATAACCTTGTAAAACTTTGGTGACCAGCGTCCATGTCAGTATGTCCTTGCCATTTCCACTCTCCATCTGTGATTTTACATAGCTAATGTATTATTGCCACATCAGAGTTAAAGGTTTATTTATTTTATCTTGGGAGGGAAGGCGAAGGAGTGAGGTAAGGGCTAGTGGTTGTTATTTTGCCAATTACTATCATTTTATGACTCTTGTTTTTATTTATTTCAAATTGTACATAGATACTTTATAGTATATTTATACTTAACCTCTGGTTAGTTTAGTTTTCAATTCTAAACAAATGTAGGAATGCTACTCTTTGAGGTAATTCAACATAATGCTGTTGGATATTATCTGGTTGAAAATGCTGTTTGGAATATTAATAATGTAGCAGAGCTGGTTTATGATTAAACACTAGTTTAAAACCAAATATGTAGTGGTTTGAAGGCAAAGGCAGAGGGGAAGCTTGATTTCAGGAAGGTCATGGAGTGGATGATGCAGTGGTAGAAAATGCAGCATGAACCCTCTAATTTTAGTCCTTCTCTGCAGCACCTTTTAATTTTCTGTGCCTAATAGTTTCCTCTGTCTCTCTGTTTTGAGGCATTAACATGCCTTGTAGTAATCAGTCAAAATACCAGTGAGATTGGACACTGGGTATATGGCTCATTGCATTGGTTGGTCGCCTGTTTCCGGTGTGTGAGTTAACGTACCTGTCTAGGTTGAGGTTTAAATACAGTAATAATATTTATGGCTAGAGCAGAAGAGGCTAACTTACTTCACCACCTCCCTGCTCACCTGCTCTTCCAGTTATCTCTGGGTTTGATTCTTTAGTATCACTGTCACCCTGCAGAAGGACTGAAGGGATGCCAACAGAGCTCATTGCCATGCCTGGCAACCGAATATGAATCCTTCCCTAGTGCTTCCGGCTGGTCTGTTTCTCCACCAGCCCCCATTTTTATCCTCCAGGAATGTTCTAGTCACCACCTATGTTTAACTTTGGTGCTGAATCATGAAAGAATTGCACTGTGCAGGTACCCCATCGATATAGGCAAAATCCTTCCAAGTGGTTTTCCTCTTTCCTGTAAACTGCATCCCTTCTCCTAGTGTCTGGTTTGAAAGGGTTTGCCTGGTGCACATGAATCCTTGTGCATGCCAGTGTTGTCTGTAGACACAGCTCTCATGGTTTTGTACTGTTGCTTTCCAGATGTATGGAGAGTGACATAAACATTCATTGGAAAATGTTACTGAATTCATAGAACTTTTTTGGGTAATTACAATAGAATTTCAACTAACGGAAATTAAAATGGAAAATCCTATGATGGTAAATATTTGTTAAACATTTTAAATTTTAGAAAGCAATTCTTGCCCTAGCCAGTTTGGCTCAGTGGATAGAGCATTGGCCCATAGACTGAAGGGTCCCGGGTTTGATCATGTGGCCAAGGGCATGTACCTCAATTGCAGGCTCAATCCCCATTTGGGAGGCAACCAATCCATGTGTCTTTCTCACATTGGTGTTCCTCTCTCTCTCTCTCTCTCTCTCTCTCTCTCTCTCTCCCTCCCTCCATTCTCTCAATAAAATCAATGGAAAAATATCCTTAGGAGAGGATGAACCAAAGAAAACCAAAAAACAAACAAAAAAAACCCCAACCAATTCTTATACTAGCTGTTGCTGTCAAAATTATGTTTTCAGAATAAAAACCTGATTTTGTTATCCTTGTTTTTTGGGGAGTCATAAGAAGATTTTTAAA